TGCCTCAGATTCATAGAGGTTGGCCTGCCTCTGTCTCTTGGGTACTGGGGTTAAAGGTGTATGCCACCATGCCAAGGGAGAATCCTTTAAAGGATCCTGTTCTGGTCCATAGCTATAACAGTTATATGTCTTTTAAGATATTATGTATGAGCCAAAGAGATGGCCCAGCAGGTAAAGGCACATGCTGCCAAGCCCAACAGCCTGACTTCAGTCCCTAGGACTCACATAATAAGAGGGGATTACTATAACCTGAAGTGACTCTGACTGCCATGCATGTCATGGCACACATGTGCACACATTGAAAAGCACACTAATAAAAGTTTAAAACACTATTTAAATGTGTATGTGTGTGTACCTGCACATACAAACATTCATGTGGGTATTTTCCTTCAAGGCCTCTCTCTGTTCTCCCCCCACCCCCACCCCAATCTCGCTATAGTCTTTCTCTTTAAAGTTAGAGGCTTTCCTCAGAATTATAGATCTTGCTCATCTATTTTTTTTTTAGGTTTTTTTGTGACAGGGTTTCTCTGTGTAGCCCTAGCTGTCCTGGAACTTGCTCTGTAGCCCAGGCTGGCCTCGAACCGTGAGCGATCCACCTGCCTCTGTCTCCCAAGTGCTGGCATTAGAAGCATGTGCCACCACCACCCAGCTTGCTCATCTATTCTTACTGAAGAGTGTGAGAAAGGATTTTTCCAGAACCTTCCAGAAAGGAAGGCACTTTCCATCCTGTGCTGAACCTTACATTTTGCCCAGGCTGTCCAAGTTGCCTTGTTTAGTTGCCCTCTCCTCTGCCAGGCCAGGTCTGTACTTTGTCCTCTCAGAGTGCAAGCAAGCCTCCCTGAAGTTTGTCCTTAATTCCCAGCAAAGCACTGAACTTTCAACACCATATTTCCTGTATGTTGGTGCCTACATGGATATTTCAATTTGTTACATGGACTGAAAAATCTGCATCTGTATGGTGTTTTGTGCTCTACTGGTGCTAAGTAAAGATGCCTTACTGGCAACTGAGTCTAGGATCATTAATTTTGTGTGTCATTTAAAGATACTACTGCATCGGCCAAAGGGTGTGGTAGAACTTTCAGAAATACAGATCAGTTGTTTCTCAAGCTAAAGCCGAGGAAGGGTGCGGGTTCCTGGTATGGCTTCCCTTAAGCTGTTTGATGGCTATTCAGGTTGTCAACTTGACACACCTGGGAAGGGGGCACTTCAGGGAATTGCCTCCATCAGATTGGCTTGTGGGGCATTTTCCTGACCGCTAGTTGATGGAGGAGGGCACAGGCCACTGTGTCAGTGCCACCACCGGGCAGGTGGCTGTGGGCTGTACTACAAAGCAGTTAGAGAGCCAAGGGAGGCAAGCCAGAAAACATTGCTGCTCCTGCTTTCTTCCCTGTCTTTCCCGGTTGATGACTACCCTGTTCGTCAAATACACCCTTTCCTCCCCTAAGTTACCTTGGGCCACGGTGTTCATAGCATCGGGGAAAAAAACGAACAAGAACACTAAAACACTACTCAGAGTTGAATCTGCAAGCAAACTGACCAAATTTGCACTTCCTCCCAGCTTGCTCCTTGCTATCACCACCCAGATTTAGAGAAACGAAACTGAAAACTAGAAACTACCAGTGGTGCTTCCGGGAGTGCAGCTGCGTAGCCATGGCCGAAGAGACACCACCAGCTGGTGACCCAGTCCCCACTGGTGAGTACCAGATGGATGGTGGCCAGCTGGAAGGGGCCACACGCCACTTCCCCTTTCCCCAGCTCTGGGAGCCTGCAGGCTGCTGCTGAGTGCTTGAGTGCCAGCCTGCAGGCTGCTGCTGAGTGCTTGAGTGCCAGCCTGCAGGCTGCTGCTGAGTGCTTGAGTGCCGTGGGCAGACAGAGCTAGGCTTACAGCGGGGAGGGTGGGGGGGGCGATATGGGGTGGACCTCGGGAAGCTGATACCTCTAGGTTGCCTGGTTCCATCCTCTTGGATCCTTGCTTCACAGATTCGGGAGCTCTGTACTTTAAAGTTAATACTCAAGACATGCTGTTGAAAAGGAGGATAAACTTTATTGAGATGCTGCCAACGTGGAAAGGGGAACGGTCTGGGGCATTTGGGGAATACTGAGGAACACGTTGTGGGGGTTGCAAATAGGCAAACATTTCAGAGAAGCTGGAGTTGGGCAGGCTGAGGTCTCAGGGCCACCCACGGTGACAATCTCCTTGTGATGGTATTGTCTTACCTTGAGGGCACAGTGATCGATCCAGGTATTTGTCAGTTTTGCGATCCAAAGATTCCCGGAATCGTCTTAGAAAAAACATGAACTCAGGAATGTAAAGGCAGTCCTCTTCTGGGACAGGACACAAGTAATACACAGAGGACAGCAGGAACAGAACAAAAGCTGGTGGGGACCGGCTGTTACAGCCCCCCTTGTCTCTCCAGTGGAAATCTGACCCAAAGGCTAAAGCAGGAAAAACCAGACACAATAGGGAGGCGCTGATGCCAAGCCTTTTCAACCCCTTCAATCCCTCACCAGTGATTACAGTGATCGCTGGCCTGAGTGAAGTCAAGGTTTTCAGCAAAAGCAGCCTTCCACCCCTGAAACTTAACCCAACCATTATCCTAACTCACTTGGTAGATGTCTATAGCTAAGCTTACACATATTTATTTATTTATTTATTTATTCATTCATTCATTCCAGCTTGTGACCACCCCCCACTAGCTTTTTTTTAAAGATTTATTTTATGTGTATAAATGCCTTGCCCAAATATATGTCTGTGTACCACATGTGTATTTGATGCCTGTGTTATTTAGAAGGCATAGGACTCCTCCTGGAACTGGAGTATGAGAGAGTCATGAGTCACCATGTAGGTGCTGGGAACCAAACCTGGATCCTCTGCAAGAGCAACAAGACTCTTGTCTACTGAGCTGTAGCATGAATCTTAAAGAGTCTTATTAATAAAAACAACCTGGAGCCAGGTATTAGGGTGAACGCTAAAAGATCAGAGAAGCAGAACAAGCCACAGCCACCTCACCTTGCCATTTCCTCAGCTGATCCTATTTCCTCAGACTGGAAGCCTCTGAGTCCTCATCCAGAATGAATCTCAGCTGAACTGTTGCTCAAAAGCCTAAAAGCTTTACCAGCCTAGTTCCTGGTTTTCATGTCTTACCTTTCTGCTTTCTGTCATTACTTCCTGAGATTAAAGACGTGAGTCACCATGCCTGGCTATTTCCAGTGTGGCCTTGAACTCACAGAGATCCATGCCTCCAGAAGGCTAGGATTAAAGGTGTGAGTGCCACCATTTTCTAGCCTCTGTATCTAGTGGCTGTTCTGTTCTCTGACCCCAGATAAGTTTATTAGGGTGCACAGTATTTTGGGGGAACATAATACCACCACACTGAGCCATCGCTCTAGTCCCTGTTATGTATGTCTGTACATATGTATGTATTTATGTGCGAGCATGTGTGTGTGTGTGTGTGTGTGTGTGTGTGTGTGTGTGTGTGTGTGTTCATATGCCATGTGTGTGGAGACCTTGGAGCTGGAGTTACAAGTATTTGTAAGCCTCCCCAACATGAGTGCTGGGAATGGAGGTTGGGTTCTCCAGAAGAATAGCAAACACATTCTCTCTCTAGCCCTTGATCCTACTTTTTCAAATCAAGAGTCAGTCATAGGTAGAAAACTTGAAAAGTTGTTCCAGGCAGAGGATGGCACAAATAAGGGTACCAATCTCCAAAATACATGGTAACCACTAGCCAGGTGGTCAACTATTTCATTTAGCTAATCTGTGTATGGACTGTAGGGCTCAAATCTTCCTTTGCTCTTTTCTCTATCTGGACTATTTTACTATCTCCAGTTTGTGCTGAATATATACTCATGCATGTGGCTACCCACTGGTGCATGGTGGACCTACCAGGAGCCACACCCAAAAGAAAACTGACACTCCTTCCCCCAACAAACCATCAACTGACAGTAGCTTCTCACTTAGGGGTGGATGCTCATGGTTATCCTCCCACCCCCCCCCTCCACCATGCCAGCTAGAATTTGACTGCTTTGATCTTGTGCAGGCAGCCACAGCTGTACTCACAGCTGCAAACACAGATGCTTTGAATGTCTGATTACAGCACTTTCTGTCCTGTCTAGAAGACATTGTTTCTATGGCTCTTAGAATCTTTCCATCCCCTCTTCCACTGTTCCCCGAGCCTTGGGGGATGTGGGGTTACTGTGGTTGTCTCATTTATGACTGAGCATCTCACAGACATATATTCTCTACACTTTGAGGAGCTGTGAACTTTCTAAGACTCTATTGCTGAAGGCACCACACTTTTTAGTTACAGGACACAGAAATTAAGCAATTACCAGGAAGTTCTTACCTGTTGGGTAGCTTTCATAGTTCTGGAAGTTGTCATGTAGCTTGTTTGAGAATAAAAGACATTAACGATGTTACCCAGCTGTGAACACTGTGAGCTCCAGTAACAACCAGCATGGCATGTGAGATGTGTTCATGGGTGCAATGGTGGTACAAATGTTATAGGGTAACCAACTGATCTCTTATTGGATTTAAGGCCTGCAGGAGGAAGCACATACCTGGTACTCTGTTTGACCAAGAACTCATGGTAAGGGAGCTTCCAGGCCCCAGGGGTGAGCCTCCTCCTACTATTTTTGCTAAATAGATATGGTATCAAACTTCACTCTAAATTCCCATCTCTGCCCATGGGTAAGTGCAGCTCTCAGACATCACTGGAGAATTTCTCTGTGCATTTTATGCATTTCAGTAAGGCTCCTGGAAGGTTTTCAGTGACACGGTAGCCCACCTTTGTGGCTTGCTCTGTTGCTGTTGACAACACTGGTCTAGAACACCGATCAGAGGCTGTACCACACAAGCAGTGCCTTTCCCACTCACATTGCTGGTTTTGCTGTTGTTCCAGGAGTCAAGACTCTACCGTAAAAACAGATGTCTTTAAGACTGGAGGAGCTAGCAAGGCCATGAAATGCTTTTCTGTTTTTAATCTTAATGTTGCTTATAGGGGTCTGTCAGGTTACAGAAAAGATGGAAAAAAGGACATGTGCCCTCTGCCCCAAAGGCCACGACTGGAGTGTGATATACTTTGCACCATCGGAGAATATAGCTGCTCATGAAAATTGTTTGGTAAGTTACTTGAAAATATCTTTAAAGCTACATGCTCAGTGGTTAAGAGGACCCAGGTTCCATTCCCAGGACCCATAGGGTGGCTCATAACCACCATAAACCCAGTCCCAGGGTATGTGATGCCCCCATCTGGCCTCTGAGGGCATCAAGCACACGTGATAATAGATCTACATGCAACCAAAAGCCCATACATACAAAACAAAGATAAAAAAGCAAAACCCGAGACACCTCCACCAGTGAGCTCACCTCCAAGGTACTCACTCTACCCACTGAGTCATCTCCCAAACCTCCATGTCATGATTTCTTAAATGATCTTTTTCTTGTTTTATTGAGTTTTTCCTGAGAATTCTATTGTAGTGATGATTAGGAGCAGTTCAAGGAGGGAGCCTTGTCTTGGTTCTATCAGTAGTATAGTTTTTAGAGTCTTATTGAAATTTACTTTAGAGATCCACCTGCCTCTGCCTCCCTAGTGCTGAGACTAAAGGTATGTGCCACCACACCCAGCTGTCAGAGCTGTTTTAAATTATGTATCATCTGTCCTGTAAACTTACTATTTCTACAAGCAAGGGCATTCTCTCGTCTAAGTACAATTTATCCATCCAAATCAGCCATTCGCATTGGGTCTATAGTACCATCAAATCCCCAGACTTGAGTTTCCACTTGTTACCCTAACAACATGACAAAGGGTTGAAACATATAGATTACATGAAACTGTCACCCCTTAAAGCCTTTTCCTTTTAACCTCTTGTGTACTTATATTTTTTCTTGTTGTTAAACCGTTTCTGACAGACTGTTAATTTGCCAGTATTTTAGTAAACTTTATTGGCATACTTTTCAGAAACAAAGTGCAGCTGACTGAAATGTGCAGTTGAGTTTTGAGACATGTGATCACTGTCTAGTCTGAGAACTCCCAGAACCCCAGAACATTTCCTCATGCCTCTTTGCAGTCAGCCCCCACCTACTCCAAGTCCTTCTAGATTGATCTTTTCTCAGAGGCCTCGTCACAGGACTGCAACAGCACGGACTCTTTAGTGTGTGGATTCCTTTGCTCAGCAGTGTTGCAGAGATGCTTCTATGCCATGTGTGCATTTGGACCTCTTTGGGTTCTATATCTAGGTATTCATCCAAAATATTCAGAAAAAAAATGCCCCTGTACTGAACATACATGCACTTTTTCTTACCTTATTGTCTTAACAATTATAGTAGACAACATTTCCATAGCATTTACATTGTATTATTCCAGAGATGATTTAAGCACACAAGAGGGCAGGCATAGGCTGTCTTAGTTAGGGTTTCTATTGCTGCAACAAAACACCATGACCAAAAAGCAAGTTGGGGAGGAAAGGGTTTATTTGGCTTACACTACCATATCGCTGTTCATCATCGAAGGAAGTCAGGACAGGAAATCAAACAGGGCAGGAAATCTAGAGGCAGAAGATGATGCAGAGGCCATGGATGAGTGCTGCTTACTGGCTTGCTCTCACGGCTTTGCTCAGCCTGCTTTCTTGTAGAACCCAGGACCACCAGCCCAGGGATGGCACTACCCACAATGGGCTGGACCCTCTCCCATAAATCACTAATTAAGAAAATGTCCTACAGCCAGGTCTTAATGGAGGTGTTTTCTCAACTGAGGTTCCCTTTCAGATAACTCTAGTTTGTGTCAGGTTGACATAGAATTAGCCAGGACAGGCTGTATGCTTAGGAGATACCATTCTATATAAGGGTAACTTCAACATGAGAGGACTTAGGTTACCCCAAAGGAGGTCCCTTGAGAATAGCAGATGAATGTATCAGTATTTGCTTCCCCCTTTTCTTATTATTATATGGATATGTCACAATCTATTTATCTACCTATCAACACATACATTATTTCCAGTCCAAGGTTATAACAAATTTGTAATGAACACCTGTATCTGAGCCTTTGTCTCCTATATGATTTTATTTCTCTTGGGCAGACATCTACAAGAATTTCCACTTCCTAATATAAGTGTACATTTAACATTTAAATGTTTATCATTTGAAAGCCAGTCTATTGGGTGCATGCATATTGGTATTGCCATGATTTTAATTTGCATGATGGTTAGTTATCTTGGGTATCTTTTCCTTTTTTTTTTTTTTACCATTCTGAAGTATCTATTTGAATTTTGTGCCCCTCCCTGTGTTTTGGTGGTGCTGAGGATCAAATCCATGGCCTGGAAATAATAAGCAAATGTTTTATCATCGAACCATAACCTCGATCCTTGTCCATTAAAAAAGAAAGATGTGTGTGTGTGTGTGTGTGTGTGTGTGTGTGTGTGTGTGTGTGTGTGTGTGTATGTATGTGTGTGTGTGTGTGTGTGTGTGTGTGTGTGTGTGTGTATACACATGTGCCACTGCTTGCACGTGGGGGTCAGAAAATGGCCTTCTCAGGTGCTTGCACTCTCCTCCACCTCATTTGAGGTGATCTCATTCCTCCTGCTGCAGATGCAGGCTTCTGGCTGGTTGTCTCCCCTCTGCCACTGGAGGACACCAGGATTGCAGGAGTGTGACTTGAGCCCTAACATCTGCCTTGTTACACTGGTTCTAGGAACTGAGCTCAGGTTGGCAGACTTGCTCAGCAAATGCTTTTACTCACTAAGCCTCTTCTCTGATACCCTTGTCCATTTTAAATTGAACTGTCTATTGAATTATAAGGTTTTCCTATATTGTAGATACGAACCTTTGATCAGATGTATATATTGTATTTTTTCCTATTCTCTTGCTTGCTTTTTAAAAATTCCAGCTGTTTATTTTTTTTATGCATATACCACAGCAGGCAGGTGGAGGTCGGAGGACAACTTGCAGGTTTCAGTTTTCTCCTCCATGATGTGAGTGCCAGGGCTAGCCCCAGGTCATCAGGCTTGGCAGCAAATGCTTTTAGTTGACAAGTCACCTCATTGGTCCACCTTTTTATTCCAGTGTCTTTCAGAGAGCAGCTTTTAATCCTGATAAAGTACAACATATTAGTGTACTAAGCTTGCAACTTGAGCAGATCAGCAGATACATAGAGACCCTACATGGAAACAAGGTGGAAAGAGAACCAACTTCCAAAGTTGTTCTCTGCCCTCACTTGCAAGTGTCAACATTTTCATTATGATTTCTGATTCTTATTAAAAAAAAAAGCTTCACCTGTGTCACAAAATTCTTCTTGTGTTTATGTTCTTTGCTATCTGAGTTTATGTATTATATTAATCTTCAACTGGAAGCAGGCAGATTGTTTAGGTCTTATGTGACTCAAATGCCAGCTACCTAGTGCTTGAGAGTTGGTAAAGCTCTTACAGCATAAGCATGAGGACCTGACTTCAATCCCTAGGACCCATGCAAAATGCTGAACATGGCGCTGTGTGCTTGTAATCCCCTGCTGGGGAGGGACAGGCAGGAGGGTTCTAGGAGCTGGTCAGCCAGATGAGCTGAATTTGTGAGCTCTCCAGGTTCAGAGAGAGACTGTCTCAAAAAATAAGGCAGAAAAGGGCTAGAGAGATGGCTCAGTGCTTAAGCTGCTCTTGCAGAAGACCCAGGTTCAGTTCTCAGCACCCAGATGTTAGTTTACAACCAAGTGTAACTCCAGTTCCAGGGATCCAATACCTTCTTCAGACCTCTGCAGGAACTTGTGATACACATACATATATGCAGGCAAAATACTTGTAATCATTGGGGGAAAAGTAGAATACTAGAGGAAGACCGCCAAAGTAAACTTCTGGCCTCTACATGTACAGAAGTTATGTGTGCACGCACCCCCCCAACCCCCGCCCCTGATTTAATACCATTTAAAAAAGATTTGTGTGTGTGTGTGTGTGTGTGTGTGTGTGTGTGTGTGTGTGTGTGTGTGTGCGTATGACCTTCTGGGGCTAGAGTTAAGTCAGTTGTGAGCTGCTCAAAGTGGGTCCTGGGAGCTGAATGTAGGTCCAATGAACACTAGAGGAGAAGTGTACATTCTTAACCACTGAGCCATCTCTCCATCCCCTAAGACTGAAGAGGAAAGAAACTTGTGCCAGGTAAACATACAAGGGGGTTTGTGGCTAGCTGTGGTAGCCCATACCTACATTTCCAGTGCTCAAGAGGACAAGGTCCAGGTAAACTTGGGGTGTATAGCAAGATCATGTCTTTTAAACACATCATAAAAGCCAGGTGTAGTAGTGCATGCCTTTAACCCCAGCACTTGGATGACAGAGACAGGTGGACCTCTGTGAGTGAGTGCCAGGCCAGCCTGGCTACAGTGAGACCCTGTCTCAACAACTAAAGAGAAGGGCTGTGGAGGCAGGCATGGCTCTTGAAGTTTAAGAAGTGAGCCCTGGAAAGCCATCAGGCATGGCCTCCTGTGCTTGCTTTTACTTCTCTGACTGAATGGCTTCAGCCACTGCTGAGCCTGTGACACCTTCCTAAGCTAGGGAAAGAGCGGTGTAGGAGCCACTGTCTGCCTGGGGTCAGAGGCAGTGGAGATCAGTTCCAAAGCACAAACCCTGTCTGGAGACTGAGATTGCTCACGGAAGTCAGATGGCTCCTGTCTGTTCATGTACCTGCAAAGTGGCCAATACCCGGAACCACCGTTCACTCTGCACTCCTTGTAAGGCCTTTTCAGTACCCTCTCTGACTTGTATTGGTCAGGACTGCTTCATACCAACTCTGGGTTTTTCCCCCTACCTGCAGCTGTATTCATCAGCACTGGTGGAATGTGAAGCTCATGATAATCTTAATAAATCTAGAAATTTTGCTGTGAAATCGGTAAAGAAAGAGATCTGGAGAGGAAGAAGATTGGTAAGTTGACATGTTTTTATTTCTCATACAGGATGAATCTTGGGGGCTACAGTTAAAGCAAAGTCTGGTGGGGGGCGGGGCTAGAGAGATGGTTCAGCAGTTAAGAATGCTTGCTGCGTCGCCGGGCGGTGGTGGCGCACACCTTTAATCCCAGCACTCGGGAGGCAGAGGCAGGCGGATCTTTGTGAGTTTGAGGCCAGCCTGGTCTACAGAGCGAGATCCAGGAACGGCGCAAAGCTACACAGAGAAACTCTGTCTCGAAAAACAAACAAACAAACAAACAAACAAACAAAAAGAATGCTTGCTGCTCTTCTAAGAGGACCTGAGTTTGGTTCCCAGCAACCAAATGGTAACTGACAGCTGCTTGTAACTCCAGCTCCAGGGCATCTGGAACCTCTTGTGGTGGCTTCCACAGACACCTGCACTAACATATTCACTCACTCAGACACACATACACAAAAGTAAAAATAAAACTGTTCATTTAAAAAAAAAAGCCTGTTGGTAAAGTGGAGTTAGAGTAACATCCTGGAGAGCTGAAAGTGGGACTGTGAGGAACCGAGACTCAGCCAAGCACTGTCTAGTTACAACAGACCACCACACATGCAAGTAGGCTTCCGACGTTTCTGTCGGAGAGGAAACCCTCCAATCAGACAGGCTTTCACAAGGCCCTTAATGTCATTCCACCAGAGCAAACACCGATTTCAGCAGCTCAACAGCGCCATCTAGGGTCTTCCTTCTGCTCTCCTGCCGCCAAAGCAGCTAGCCGGTCCTCTGGCTGCACCCAAAATAGCTAGCTGGTCCTCTGGCTGCGCCCAAAGCAGCTAGCCGGTCCTCTGGCAGCCATAAAGCTGTCTTCTGACTGTCTACTGTGGCTGCATCTCTTATCACTGATCAGCATCTGTCTTGGAGCTGTGGTCATAAGGGGCCTGTCCCTGGGAGGGTATCCTCCTGGGGTCACTGGGGCTCCAGGCTTCCTTTGTAAAAGGCCATTTGCAGATCAGTAAACAGGAGAACAAGTCTGAGTGCCTCAGGGCCAACCACAACCACAGTAACGTGTGAATGACTGGGGACACACAGGTATGTGCTCTGTGTGAAGTGTCAGGATCTGTACCAGCAGGTTCTATGTAAACTCGCCTTCTAATTACAAAGTGGCAGGACAAACTCAACTGGAACATTATTCTTACCATTATTTGCTGATTAGATAGAATTAAGGAAAGCTATCGTTAGACTCTAGAGCAGTGGTTCTCAACCTGTGGGTCACGAGCATCAGAAAACACATATTTCTGATAGTCTCAGGAATCACCAACCATAAATTTAGTTTTGTTGCTACTTCCTAACTGTGATTTTGCTACTGAGCAGCAACGGTCCTTAAGACCGTAAGAAAAAGGTTTTCCAATGGTTGTCATTCACAAGTTGAGAACCGCTGCTCTAGAGGTGGCCTACATACAAACAGCCTAACTGCAGAATGAGGGCAGTTGAGTACAGTAAAATATGGAGAAAGAGCTTGTTACCCCTGAGAGTTTTCAGACTTTCCTGTTGGGAGAACTTGGAGATGCACCGGAAGTGAAGGGTAACTGGGAGGAATGCAAAGTCATGTGAGGTGATGGCTACCCACTCACTGACAAGTGTTTCTGGAACCTTGCTGTGTGGACACATGCTCGGTGCGTCCTCGTGGGGGAGAGGCCAGTCCCTAGGCAGGAACAGACCAGCAGTGTACATGCTTTAGGAGGGATCAGTAGTACCCTCACAGGAAGGGTCCTCCTGAAGCAGGGCCTCTGCACCCTTTCCAAGTGTGGAAAAGAAAGATAAGGAATTCCCAAGGAAACTGTCTTAGGGTTATCATTGCTGTGGCGAAACACCAGGACCAAAGCAAGTTGGGGAGGAAAGGGTTTACTTGGCTTACACTTCCATGTAGTCCATCATAAAGGAAGTCAGGACAGGAACTCAAAACGGGGCAGGATCCTGGAGGCAGGACCTGCAGAGACCATGGAGGAGTGCTACTAACTGCCTTGCTTCCCATGGCTTGCTCAGCCTGATTTCTTATAGAACCCAGGACCACCAGCCCAGGGATGGCACTATCCACCACGGGCTGGACCCTCTCCTATCAATCACTAATTAAGAAAATGTCCTACAGACTTGCCTGCAGCCTGATCTTTCTGGAGACATTTTGTCAATTGAGGTCCCCTCCTCTCAGATGGCTCTAGCTTGGGTCAAGTTGACATAGAACTAGCCAGCACAGGAACAAATATGCGAAAGTGTTAAAGGCCAGGAGCGGGGCACCCTGGATCACTGACAGCCTGGGATGCCACTGTGGTTCTCCTCTTTACCAGATCCCTCACGCCTACATAGTGAAGTCATCACCTAGCTCAGTAACAAGTGTACACCAATGTTTCACTATCACAGGCAGTGCTGAGACAGACATTTTTGTCTAACCTACTCGAGTACTTCTGCAGTGTACTTCTGACAGCTCAGAAGTCCATCTTAGAGTGGTGACCTGTGTTGACAAACTGTCTCTGGGAAAGGCTATGCCCATTTAAGCTTCTGTGTGTGGTGGGCAGTTCCTGCAGAGGAGAAAGCCTTACCTTGTATTTCCCTGAGCCCTGGAAAGGTTAAACACTGTTTCTCTCCTCTTCCCATCCCAACTGCAGCAGTTCCTTAGGCAGCCCTCTGCAGTCTGGACCCACATCAGCCAGCCCACCAACACGCCGCACCTCTTCCTCACTCGGTGACTGTCTGAATAGAATGAGCAGCACTAGTACTTACACCGTGCAACATGGAGGAAAGTCCCCACTGTTCTGACACCCAAGTCACAGCTACAAACCACAGCAGGGTCTTGGCCACTTCCTGCTTTACACTCCTCCCTCGGCATCCGCTCATCTCTGAAACCTCTCCCTACCCAACAGGAAGCTGAAGACTGTCCTAATTCGACTCCTTATCAGTACTCACATTCACTCACTCACTCACCCATGTCCCCAAGTACCTTACTTCTCCTTCTGAGCAAACAGACATCTCCTGTCAGCCCCTCTTGCCATACGCCCTGCCATTTTCTACTTCTCTGCTCAGCTGGAGAGATCTGGAATACCTAAGCCTAGGCTGGGCTTCTTCCTGGGTCTGAACATGACCTAGGCGGCTTCATCCGCCTCACCTGGCTTTAACACCAACACGCCAACATCATCTACTTGTCCCCTCTCCAGAATTCCAGGCCACCATCATCTATCTCCACAAATACCCAAGTCAGCTCTCATTCAATTGGCTAAAAGCATCACCAACCCCCATATAAACCTTTAGCCCCACCCCCAAAAAAAAACACCACCACCATTCATCTATCCTCCAAAATTTAGGTGTAAGGGTCATCTTCCCCTCACCCCTTCCTGCTCCACACCAAGGCCCACTCGATGCTTCTTAGGTACATCCTGCATCCTCCAGGAACTTGCCTGTCAGCACTAATCCATTACAGTGAAGGGGCTGCTGTAGCTCTCCAGACTTGTCAAGGGCTAATACTTGGTTTTTCTCTTCCACTGTCCCTACCCAGCTTATTCTATTCCTCCAAACTTCTTCTCCACATGGCAGTCAAAATACTGATGAGTTTTTGCCACCTAGGTAGAAAAAACAAAACAAAACTATCTCCTTACTCTTGCCAACCAACCCTACGTGACCTAGCACTTTGCAGACACCTCTCACTCCCTGTACCCAAGGCAAGAGGCCATCATTCTTGTACTTCTAGTAAATTTGCCAACGGGGAAGTTCATCCTTGCCACAAAGCCTCAGTGACCTCTGCTTAGAATACTTTTCTGTTTTGGTTCTTCTGTTCTTTTCCTTTTTGTATGCCAAAGGTTCTTGGTGTTTAAGTTTCTGCTCCTCTGTTCCTCTCTGCAGAGCTGACACCTCACTCGGTCTGAAGCTTTGCTTTACTCCATATAACAAAAAAATCACTCTTGTGTGCTTCATTTGTTGCTGTCTGGGGAGCAAACCCAGGTCTTGGGCTTTTTAGGCAAGAGTACTTCTGCTGACCTGCAACTATGTGGTGTTTGAAATTTTACTTTATGAGATCATGTACATTTTCCTGTAGAATTTTCATTTTGTTTTGTTTTTTTGTCAGCTTGACAGAAGCTAGGGTTATCTCGGAAGAGGAATCTGAATTGAGATGATGTCTCCAACTAGATGGCCCATAGACAAATTCTGCAGGGCATTTTCTTGATGATTGATGTGGGAGGGTTCAACCTGTGAGGGTGGTACGTGGTCTTGAGTTGTGTGAAAGTATCCTGGGCAAGTCATGAGGAGCAAGCCAGTAAGCAAGCAGCACTTGTCCATGGCATCTGGTTCCTGCCTTGACATTCCTCAGTGATGGAGTATGACCTGGATGAGTAAAATGAGGTAAACCCTTTCCTTCCCAAGTTGCTTTTGGTCATAATGGTTATCACAGTAACAGACAGCAAGCTAAGACATCCATCCCCTCTAGAATGAACATAACTTTCGTATGTGCAGGTACCTTCTCTGCCTTATCTACTCCTGCCTTTCCTTGTCCTAAAACAGTGACTGTAACATCACAGCCACCATGTCCTCAATAACTAGTTTGACTTTACCTGGATGAAATGCAAAAGATGAGTCACTTGCATTTCATCTTCTGTGGCCCCCACACTGGAGTACTATAGTTTAACCCAAGACTCAGCCATCTAGGGCAAACGCTTCACCATTGAGCTGCCTGTCTACCCTTTCCCCCTTTCCTCCTTTGTGGGAGCCCACAGTGACTGCAGCTTGTGGCTTGATTCCAACTTGACTCAAAGTCAGAGAGTTCAAGCTTGTGTTTGCTCCTTAAGGCTGGATAATAGAATGTTTGGCCAAAGGTTACTAGATGTTTTGCTCCTCAAGACTGCCAAATAACAGGATATGGTTACGAGATGTTTTGAGAATTAAGGAGGTGTTTACACTTGTTTGTTCCTTGAACCATGGTAAGGAAGTCTTTTGTCCTCCTTGCCTTGAGTATAAAAAGGCTATGAGAAATAAATTTGGGGCTGCTGCAATATTCACTGAGTGCCCTCCCGATTCTATCCTATGTCTCTATCTTTTCTTTTCTGTCTATGTCTTTTCTAAATCTCACTCCCCTGTTCAGGTGCTGTTTGACAGGTCAGCTGGTCCCAACACTCCTTTCCAACCAGCATCTTGTTAAGATGCTTATATTGGCCTTGAATCTGCAATCCTCCAGCTTCAGCCTCTTGAATAGCTGGGACTGTAGGTGTGCACCACCATACTGGGCTGAGGGAATCTAAATCGTAACCCTTTAATTTACTGTGACTAGTTTATTTTCTGTCTTTCTTCACCTTTAACATCTTCAAGTTTTACTCATCCCTGTAAAAACCAGAACCACCAGTTCTTATGCTTTTCCTTTGGGGCTTCTGTTGCCTGTGTTTCTTGGATAGCCCTCCTTTGCTATAATGCCATTAATAATGCTATAATGCCATTATAACGCTTTAACCACTGCAGAACTGACAGCAAGTGTATTGTGAGGCAGCAGTCTCATGGTTTTCCTGGTACATGAAGCTGCACTGTTCCTTTACAGTTAGCCACTCTTTTTTTTTTTTTTTTTTTTGGTTTTTCGAGACAGGGTTTCTCTGTGTAGCTTTGCACCTTTCCTGGAACTCACTCTGTAGTCCAGGCTGGCCTCGAACTCACAGAGATCCACCTGCCTCTGCCTCCTCCCGCAGTTAGCCACTCTTGTATGCTCTGGTTTAGAATTCTACCTCTATCTTAGTTTTTCACCTACATTTGAATTTTCCTTATGTGCTTGTTTGTGTTTACCTGGGATACCATGAACGCTGTCTCTTGCTGTATGGAGTAGCCTCATTGTGCTTGGACCTCATTCATCTAGAGGATGGTGCCAATCAGCCTCGGTCATGGCTAAGTTGCCCCTCATCACAGCAGAAAAACTAGCACTGCCCAAAAAGGCTTCCTGGAGCCACACAATGCCAAACTATTTCTACACCACCTTCATATAAAACCCGATAGGGAAATAAAAACAAAGGATCAAGAAAAACATTGTACTGTTGTGCTTTTGTTTGGTTTCTACAAATTTGAAACAGGTTCCCTTTATTTCATATTATCCCCATAGTAACTCTGGAGAACAGTTACACCACCCCAGGGAGACATGTCTAAGAGGAAGTCATAGTAAGTGCCAGCTCAGGTCACACATCTCAGTGGCACAACCAGGAGCGGCTCTGGCCTCAGGTTCCAGGTCCCCTAGCCAGCTCCCTGCCTAGGTAAAGAAGCCTGCCAGTTGTGCTCTTTAGAAATCTCTATTCAAACGGAAAGACTGTTTTTTTGAAGCCAGCTACGCCTTGCATTTACATAGACCATGACGCAACTCTGTGTGCCAGGCCTTCCATTCCAGTTGGTTGCAGTTTTGCTGAAACTTCCAAGTGGGTTGGCAAATTTAAGTCACTTTTAGTGTGGGTATGGAGGCTGGGATATACCAGTGGTAGCCGGGATAAAAATGCAGGGCTGCTGACTTAAATGACACCCTTACTTCTTATCAAAGGAACAGGTACTTACCCAGTGTGATCTGTTCTTCTATAGAGATGCACATTTTGTACTAAAGGAGGCGCCACCGTGGGATGTGATTTACCCTCCTGTTCCAAGAATTACCACTTTTTCTGTGCCAAAGAGGACAACGCAGTTCTACAAGTTGATGGAGTTGAAGGAACTTACAAGTAATTCAGCAGCTTTAAAACTACATGGTGGAGGGGGTGGGTGGGTGGATAAGGAATGGCTGGACTGTGACATACTTCTAAAGCTTAACTTATGCAAGTGGTTTTCACACGAGAACAGGATTCCCAGGACACCCACCAGGAACTCTCCTTCACAATATTTCTGCACGACAGGAAACAAACCACTCAAGGTTTTGTCTGACTCTCTAACTAAAGGTCACCAAGAGGCAGGAGCCAGTTCAGGCCTGTTCTTCGGCAACAGGAAGAGACCTCCTTTCACGTCATCCACAGGCTTAGGGGTCTACACTCCCACCTGGTGGGAGTGGGTTCTCTTCTTCCAGTGTTGGGCCCAGATCCGGAACTCGGGTTCAGACCTGATGACAAGCCCCTTGACCTGCCGGTGTTCTCAGCAGCCCCTGGGTTGTCAGTTCTTCAAGTCCCGTCCAGTTTCGCACTGCACTTGTAATATTCGGTTTGCTGTGAAACTTGCAACTTCACTTTGATTAGTTACTTTCACAAAGAACTCACTCTATATTACAGTAGTCTTTAAACACGCAATCCAATCAAAGGGACTGAGGTCCCTGCTGTATCTAGCTTTTGTTTTTGAGACAGAATCTCACTAAGTAGACCAGGCTGCCTTGAACTCCCAGAGACACCGTAAGTTTTGTTTTTTTAAAACTATATTGACCATACTGGAAATAATTAACTCAATTAAAAACAAACTTTTTAATTGTTTCCACAAGGGGCAGGTGGGCTTCTCTGCAGTTTAAATTTTAATTTAAACATTGAGATGCATAGAATGCCTGAGGTACCTCCCAAGGGACTAAGGGACTAAGAGAATGAACCTAAGAGGAGGTGTCACCAGCTTAAGAGAGGAGTGCAGAAAGGCCACTGTGAACACTTCCACGTGGGAGGGGCTGAGGCAGGAGGAAGGGGCTGAGGCAGGAGGAAGGGGCTTTGCCTTGACTTGAAAATTGCTGACTGATGCTGGGGATGGGGAGGGCATGGGGAGGAGGGTCTGTCCTAATATTTCTTGTACTTTTTTACATTTAAAAAACTTACAGCCAAACATGGTAGTACATGCCTAAAATCAAAGCACAAGAGGTGGGGGGCACAAGTTCAAAGTCAGTCTAGGAATTTGAGACTAAATGAAAAGTGCGCAGAAGTACCAGGTCTAAAGGAGACCACTCTGACCTGGACGCTGCTGTGAAGGGGGAACTCGAGGTCCCACAGCTAACATGAGGGCAAACCTAAGGGCAGGAAGTCTCTTAGAGCTCCCTCACGTCTGCTCTCTAGCTCGCTACGCCTCGTCCCTCTCTGAGGACACCCATCAAATATAAGCTCCAGAAGGCAGGCTCTGGTCTTCAGTCTTCTCCAGATGAATGCATGTGCTTCTGTATTACTTTCGAAGAGCAGCAACAATCTGGGTAGTCAGATTGACGCTTGAAAATCTGAGACTTAGTTCCTTAGACGACTCTCATCACAGCGCAGGAACTAGTACAGCTCAAAATACTGACTCAGTATCCACGCCCTCAGACAACAGAGTTTCCTTTCTAATGCTCACAGGGCACGATGTTGGCCAGTCTTACCCACACTTGATGTGGGTTAATAATTTTACACAGACTTACATTCTTTTTAAAAATAAATACTTTTGCCGGTGTAGTGGTATGCACCTTTAATCCCAGCACTGGGGAGGCAGAGGCAGGCGGATCTCTACAAATGAAAAGATTCAATGATTCTTTGAAATTCTGTATTTTTAGATTATTTTGCCGACAACATGCTCCAGAACTACCAGGGACCAGTCAAAGTGGTAAGTTTCTAAAGTGGGTTTAAGAAAAGTTAATTATTTAGGTAAACCATGAAATAATCTAACTTCTTCTCAATTGTAATTTTATATGTACACCTGTTTGTATGGAGACCTTAGGTTACAGAGGGCTGTGAGCCACCATGTAGTCCTCTAAAAGAGCAGCCAGTGCTTTTAACCACTGAGCCATAGTCATTATACTCACTGGAAAGTACCATTAAAGAGCTGCTTGCCATCACTGTATATGGACAGGGAATGATAGTAATGTGTGTATGTATATACACATATATGTACACAGAGAGAGAGAGAGAGAGAGAGAGAGAGAGAGAGAGAGAGAGAGAGAGAGAGAGAGATTCTCTGTGTAGCCCTGCGTGTCTTGGAAATTGCTCTGTAGACCAGGCTGGCCCTGAACTCGAGATTCTCCTGCCTCTGCCTCGCAAGTGCTGGGATTAAAAGTGTCAATCTTTGCTTTATACACTCTAAGATTTAAATGGTTTCTATTTTAGCTGAGAGCCCAAGCTTGCAGAAAGGGAAAGGAAAGAAGAAATGCCTCCCATCAGGCTCCCCTGAACAGGTAATTTGACTTATAGATCTAATTTCTTCACATAAAGTCCTTATTTAAAATTCTGCATGTCAGAGGCTCCCACTTTTCAAATCAGTGGAGGAGTTGGCATTTGTACCATCCTCCATGTGTGTTCTTTCCCTAGATGAAGCTGAAAGCTAGTTTTAGGGTGGAATCTTGGGAAGAATCCTGATGTGTTAGAAGCATACTGAGATTAAGAAGAAGCTAGAAGCTCAGGAGATGGCATCATTTCCTCAGCTTCTCCCAAGCATCCCTTGGCACCATATTAGTGAAAACATCTGACCTTACAGGCTACTTGGTCCTAAACAGGCCGAGAGTACAGAGAAGCATTTGTTCATAACCAAGTGTTTCCCAGCTGCATGTCCATACCTGACCTAATTTCTAACTTACAATTTTCTGGATTAGTAGATCTAAAATATGAAAGATTGTGGAGAGATTTGAAAAAGTATTTCTATCAGTTCATATAAACTAAATTAGTAGAGGATAGCAATCTCTCCTTATTGTTTATTCAAGAGTTGTTTTGCAGGTCACAAACAGCATACCCCAGAGGTTTCAGCTATTTGAGAGTGCCATTTGGATCCAGGAGTTTACCAAGACTAAACTCAAAAAAAAAAAAAAAAAAAAAAAAGTTTGTCTAATACAGTTTTTTGTTACATTTGATTAATTCATTTAATTATATAGCAAAACATTTTTATGTGGTATTCAAGGCCAATATGGGAAGTTAACATAATCTGGTTTTCTCTTCTAGCCACCAAAGAAGTTGGGCAGATTCAAAAGATGTATGAGAGAAGAGCCCCGCAGCCACAGAGGTTTGTTTTCAGTGATGGCTGAACAAACATGGCGCCTCCAAGTATTTATAAAAATGTCGACCCACCTCTTCAGGCTGGTGTCGTGCTCTGATCTTTAGTCTCCTGGACTTTTGGTACCTAATAGGAATGGAAGTCTTTATTTTAACTATGCACTCTAGTAGAACTCCCGCCATAGAAAATGATTGGAGTAGGAATGGCCCACTTCTTCTCAGCCTGAGGAGACACCATTACTAGGAAAGGTGGGTTTGCCTGAGGCCAGCATCCAGCAGTGTGCTACCACTCACACTGACAGGTGGCCTTTGTTCTCTAAGAAGGGGATGTCCTTACAACATAGCATCTGTGACAAAAGAGAGGGGCTGTCCCCTCAAGCACTTGAAGGTAAATTTTACAAAATCATATTAATTCATACAGTTACTATAAGCAGAGAAAAGTCTTTAGTCTTTGTACCATTTGCTATTTGAGTTTCAGAAAAATCAGACAATTCTGCTCACCCGTCAATGGTAGAGTATAATCACCACGTGATGCGAGGAGCTGCCCTAGGACCACTTCCTTCTAACAATGCATTCTCTGTTCTTAGATGCAATTGCCAAAGTTCCTTTTCTTAAGAAATGCAAGGAAGCAGGACTTCTTAATGAATTATTTGAAGGGATACTAGAAAAACTTGATTCAATTCAAGGAAAACTCCTGAGTGAGACCGCTTCAGAATCAGGTACTGAATCGGCTAAATGTAAACGAATACTAGAAAACAGAACATTGTCTTTCCATGCCTTTTCCCTCCCTTCTTTAACCCATTCTTTCCTAACACTCATGATGGGATGGAGAGATGACTCAGTGGTCAAGAGCACTTGCTCTTCTTGCAGTGGACGTGAGATCAGCTCCAGGCATCTACATGGTGGCTCACAACCAGAACTCCAGTTTGAGGGGAATCTAACACCCTCTTTTATCCTGTGCAGTTATTGGGCATGCACATGGTACCCATATGTACACGCAGGCAAAATACTCATACACAAAATAATTAAGTCTGAAGATAATGTTATTGCCAGATCTACTGTCAACAATAATCAACAAGATATGGAAAAGTCAGACTCTTTAGTTAGTGGCAAAAATGCACTGAGGCCTGGCAGGCTGTTTCCCACAGGTACACACAGCTGAATGGGTACACTCACTGAAACTGGGTTGTGTTTGTTTGGCTGGTTTTGCTGTTGCTGCAGCTGATGTTTTAAGATGTACTTTTACTATTTTTTTTTTTTTTTTTTGGTTTTTCGAGACAGGGTTTCTCTGTGTAGCTTTGTGCCTCTCCTGGAACTCACTTGGTAGCCCAGGCTGGCCTCGAACTCACAGAGATCCGCCTGGCTCTGCCTCCCGAGTGCTGGGATTAAAGGCGTGCGCCACCACCGCCCGGCTTACTTTTACTATTTTTAATTATACACACAACACACACACACCTATGTGGGGGGTATGGACACGGGGGCACAAGTGCCCATAGAGGACGGAACTGTCTGAGACCCTGGAGCCAGCGTTACAGGCAGTTGTCAGCCACCCATGGGCGCTGGGAACAGCCTCTAGGCTATAATTTTGATGTGCATCAAATTCTATTCCTTAGTAAATCAAGGGTTTTTAAAAATTATTAAGGGCCTGGAGTGACAGACAGCTCAGTGAAGAGCACATTCTATTCTTGCAGAGGACCTGGGTTCGGTTCCCAGCACCATGTCTAGCAGCTCACAACTGCCTGTACCTCAAGCTCCTGGGGATCTGACACTTTTATGGACCCTGAGGACCTACACCCATGTTCTTTCTTTCACACACACTCTCTCTCTCTCTCCTACACATACACTTAAAAACTGCCTCGTGCACCTGCCACAGCACACACAAGGAGGTCAGAGGACAAGGAGTCGGTTCCTCTTCCACCATGTGGGTTCTGGGGATTGAACTTAAGTTATCAGGTGGTAGCAAGCACCCCTACCTGCTGAGCCATCTTGCCAGACCATGGAGAGGTTGTTTAGATCAACTCTGTAACTGAAGTTTCTTTCTTTCTTTTTCTTTCCTTTCTTTTTAAAGATTTATTTATTTATTTATTATGCATATAGCATGTATGACTGCATGCCAGAAGAGGGCACCAGATCTCATTACAGGTGGTTGTGAGCCACCATGTGGTTGCTGGGAATTGAACTCAGGACCTCTGGAAGAAGAGCCAGTGCTCTTAACCTCTGAGCCATCTCTCCAGCCCTGAAGTTTCTTTCTTAATGAGCTCCTAGGGAATAAAAAGGGTCACTTACAGTATGCAAGTATATAGTTATATACTGTGACCTCTTATAACCTACAGAATGAGCTAAAAGCTTTAGAGCTACTTGTTAGGGGAATCTGGATGGTTCATACCGTAAGTGACAATGTAAAATCTGGACTTATTAGAATGATTTTTCTGTATGCTAAAACCAAAAGATAAAACTACAACTAAACATTTCTAAGAGCTCATTTGTTACATAATTTTATTTACTTATTTTCTGAAGACCAAGAACTCTCAAATTTGTGGGTGCCTTATGATCACTTGGGGGTTCCCTGAAACAAGTTCCAGCTGCACAGAAATACTGAATCGCTGCTTCTCAGGGGTTCCCTGAAGGGCCTCTGCACCGTCCTGCACTCCTCGGCTGCTTACTCTTCCATATTGGGGGTGATTTTCTGGTTTCTCCTTATGTGATTCACTCCCATTAAAATTAACACAGGAAGTTGTTTTTCCCTCTAGACTATGAAGAGATCGATACTTTACTGTTTGACTCTGGATTGTTTGAAGACACATTAATAAAATTCCAAGAAGGTAGGTGACTCATAAAGTACCCAACAGTGTGGTTTAGAGACATGTATGATTCAGATCAAAACAGCAGGTGACAAAACAATAAACATACTTCTAAAAGACACTTTTTACCAAATGAACAGAGCCCATTATAACAACAGTATGACACACAGCAAGAAAAACATGCAAAAACCATGGGTGCACACAGACACACGGACGATAAGACAGCTGACGCCACAGAAACAGCAGTGATTTATAGGTGGATGGATTATAGCTCTGTGTTTTCCAGGTAGACACACAGATTCTTATGTAATCAGAAAAACTGACTGACAAGGCAGAGACGAGAGAAGTTTTTGATTCTAAAACTGCAGTGTATCTGACCCATGTACAGCCAGGTACAGAGGCTCCCTGCAGCCCCTCTGCCCCCAGGTAGCAACATGGAGGCATCAGTGGACCCATCCTGCAGCATGCCTCCTTCTCACTTGGAAGAAGAAATGCCACTCTTTTCCTAAGTTTATCTTCAAAGCTCATCTCTTAAAGCAGAGTACTGTAATCCTAAAAATCATCAGGGGGAAAAAAAGTGAGAATAGTCAAAAGAAGTTTTTTCTTTGTTTTTGTGTTGTTTTGTTTTTAAAGAAAAAATGGTAGTACACAGGTGAGAACTTAGCTGGGTGCTGTGGTGCACATCTATAACCCCAGCAGTTGAAAGGGTGAGGCAGGAGGATTGCCAGCCTAGGCTACACAGTGAAACCTTGTCTAAAAAACATAGGCAGCATGCATGTATTACGCCCTTTCAGTACTACAGACCGCTATGCACCGCACCCACAGACAGGGTGAGGGCCAGATTCCCACAGGATTGGTCTGAATGGCTCCTGTGGTCACCGCAGAACACACCGTTCTACAATGTTCTTTTGCACCTATCAGTAATGGTAGGACAGCAGTTCTCTCTGCGGAGAAAACAGTTTGCCTGTGCCGCCTCAGTATGGACAGCCTCATTTTGGTTTTCTGTTACTCATTCCTATTTGAACTCCGAAATATTCATTTTTATTAGCAGAAAAATTACTTTAAAAGTTGCTTGCACATGTCTGTTAAGAATAGCTTAAAAACACAGCCTTCAAAAAGCTGTGTTTCCTATGGTACTTCCATGTGTCAATTAGTATGAAAATCATGTGTCTGGAACACGTGACACACCCAGGACTGCACGAGAAGCAGTGGGAAAGGCTATCATCTGACACAGTGCCATTCTGGGCTGGCTGAATCAGCTCAGTATTTCAAGCTGACTGCAGGTATGCTGTCCTACCGACAACTATGAACTTAAAACTTCAACTGTGAAGCTTTCACACCTAATGAAAATGACCTTGCTGGGTTTCTACAATAAAAGCTTTTCCTTTCCTAAATCACACCCAAAGATGTGATGTAACAAATGTCCTTAGAGCCAGAGATGTGCTCATGAATGAGTTTCCTTGGGAGTCTAGCTACATTCTCTAGTCTCTGAACGAATGGATACATTCTACTATAAAGGTATTCAGTCGCCTGTGTTATATGCTGTGGTTCCATTCTGAGTCAGAAAAGGAAGTGAAGCCCTGGAAAAAGCTGTTTCTGCTCATTTCACCATCTTTTTAATTGAGGCACAACTACTGATCCGGACTAGAGACAAGTACATTATTTCTAATCAAATTACTGCATAAATTAAAGCCACTTTCTTTCTTTTCAAAGTAATCAAGAGTAAAGCTTGTGAACATGAAGAGAGGCAGAGGCTGCTGAAGGAGCAGCTCGAGGCACTTGGGAACTTGACGCAAACTTTGTGCTCCTTTCAAGAAAACGGAGACCTGAACTACTCAAGCTCTACTTCAGGATCCTCTCTGTTTCCCTGAGGAGCCCCAGTTCAAATGCCCAGTCTACTAAGATGCAAGCAGGCTGGAAGACAGCCTGTGACAGCTACATAGGTCCCCATCCCTCCCTGACCTGCTACTGCTGATCGCTCTTTTACACCTGACTGGGTGTTCTCTCCTCTCGTCATCCCACTTGCCTACTTTTCTGTGCCAGTAAAAAGGGCTCCTCAGGTCAACTGGGTCAGCTGAGAACAGATCCTCCCATCTGTAATCCAAGGAGTGAGGAAGTCTTTCTCTTTGTGGTGCCTTCCCTACCCACCCCAGCCAACCACAGCAATACCAGAGCCCTTGCATATCCTGTGGTGCAATCTTAGAACTTTCTCTTGTCTCTGCTGTCCCTCCAGTAGGTCTCATACTAGCCTTCTCGCAGTATTAATAACTCCAACAGAGTAGAGCACAAACCCATTCCCGTGGCTTGCTGGTACCCTGAGTTTCTGCTCACTACCACATTTCCAAGACTTAGCAAACTCAATAAATGTTTGTAAAATACACTGTAATGAGTGACAGTTTATTGAATACAGTTCACAGCAGCCCTCAGCTGTAACAATGTAGAATACACTGCTTTCTTTGTTTTACTATTTTCCAGGTGGCCTTCAGTCTTTTTAGAAGTGTCTTTTTGGCCACAGTTATTATTACAAGAGCATGTGTCATCTTCAAGACAAACACCATCATCTGAAACTTGGCTCTTTGAATATGAGCATCATTAAGAATTTGGAATGGGGAAGAATTAAGACATTTTTCCCACCTAACAATATGCAACTCAGATCTGCATGCCTACATTGCTCCTGACCCTTGACTCCTTCACATTCAGTTCTGATTTTCTATCATGATTCTCAGGTCCATAATAATGCTAGCTATCAGAACGGGACTGAGCTGTGCCCCAGTTTGGAATGAGTGCTCAAACATGCTTGTTAAAGAATCATTCCTGGTGCGATGCTGGTAGCAAGGCCAGTCTAAGTCACTTCATGAAGGGTGACCGGGAATGACTGCACTCTGACCGCCCATCAGCATCAGCTGGGACAATTCTGTGTTAAAGCTTCCTCTCCTGCCTAGATTCAGCTTTAACCTGTCAATCACAGTCAGTTATATGGCACAAGGGAGCACCACTTAATTGGGTTCACAACATTGGCAAATATTGGGCAAACTGACCAAATAAGCCTGCTCTCTTATTAGTGGAAAATGAGCCAAATAATCATACTCATCATTTCTATATAAGAAAATGTCTGGAAGCCCAGGGTATATTAGATGGCGCTGTGGGAAGTAAACATTCCCTCATTCAATGCTGCATTTTGTAGACCTAGGGGAAGGCTCATCAACACCCATGTTTAGCTTACTGTTTTATAGATGAGCTAAAAACAAGTTTATGGGTTTTTCCTATTCTACACAAACCATCTACGGAACAACTGTTTGTTGGGTCAACTCCATTTGGTTCCATTATTTAAAAACAAAGAAACAAACAAAAAACTGGTAAGATGGTTCAGCACTTGCCACCAAGCTTGATGACCTGAGTTTAATGCCAGGAACCCACACAGCAGAACTGACTTCTACAAGTTGCCCTCTAACCTCCACAAGAGTGCCATGGCACATGCACTCTTGTTCAAAATTAACATTAAAAAAAACCCCAAAAAACCTCTCTATCCCATTATAATATCCCATTATATCATTGGTTGTTCACCCGATCTCCACTTTCCCCTAATAACTGATATGTATCACAACTGATATAGCTGCTACTTTTCATTTTTAAGTATTCCCAATTCAAATGCATTTCCCACTCTGATAATTCAACTGCACTCTTTTAACAGAAATAAAATCTTTAGGTTGGGTGTAGTTGAGATAGTTGAGATGTTGTTGACACATTCACAGTGGTATCTGATTTTTATTCTAATATTGCTAATTTTTTAAACTGTGATACAATATATGTACAAAATTTACCATTTCAACGCTTTTAAGAATATCAGCTTGTCTATGAAGCTTTGCTAACTGTAAAATAAACTATGCTTAATTCATACAGCTGTGTGAGACTCAAATAAAATAATGTGAGGGAAAAAAAGAATATATAGTTCAGTAGCATCAAATATAGTCAAAAATTATCATTCTTCCAAAAACCTCTTCCTCCTGCAAACCAGAAAGTGCCCACGTAACTGCTCTGTCCTCTCCAGCCCGACAACCACCCTCTTTCTACCTCTAGGAACTGGACCACATACTGCTTGCCTTTTGGTGGCTGACTTTTTTTTTTTTCACTTAAGTTCACAAATTAATCCATGTTGTCCCAAAATAACAAGTTCCTCCCTTTCTAGGCTGTATACTGCTATATTGTAAAGGGAGAAAACAACCACAAGTGTACACGCCTGCCTTAAGAGACTGTTTATTAATATGTCATTCAAGAAATTACATAAATGCATCCTAAATACTCGAGTATCAAACATTTTTCCAGTAAGTTCAAGGATACAGTTTAGGCTATTTTAAGAAATGTGACTTCTCTGGCTTCCATTATTACATCAGAAGAAAACATTAATTTCAAGAATAGTTTTTGTTTCCTATGATTAAAAACAAAACCAAATAGAAAAATAAAAAGACTGTATTAAAAAAAACACTCAAACATCTTTAAAGGACTTGTTCTTTCACGTCTCACACTCACTCAAGCTACCCAGGAAGCCGAGAAGTGTGTCTTCAGCTGTATCAGGGACTCAGGATGTTTTTGTCTGGTGGACTATCTATGGATATGGATTTACAGCTGTAATTTGTGCTTTTTTGTGTGGAGAGGTTTTTCAAGTAAGAACAATAGTAAACATACTAAAGTTACCACCTTGAGACCCTAAGTCTACAGGACTGTGGTATACAGATGTCCTATTACAACAAGTCAAATTAACGTGCACTCATCGTCCTAGGAGGAAGAACTGTCACTGAAGAGCCAGTTCTAACTTACCAAAACACCAGGCAACAATCACTGTGACACGATCAAGAAAAGGGGGCTTGGAGTTCTGGGTTTGATTTCTTTTGCCTGTCAACAACTCCTATCGTTGGTGCCTCACTCACCACTCTACCCTGATAGACACATTTTGGAGCACGGCTGCAACAGTGCCTGCAGCCTTGTTAATGTGGCTCTGAACTCAGGCTAAGTCCAAGAGTCTTAGTTAAGCAGGAAACAGAACCCAGTACGGGAACACACACACATGTAAAGGAGTTCATGGAGCAGACAATGCCTTATTCTGAAAGCAAGCTCAATGGGTAAAGCTGGGACACCAACATTCCTACACCCAGTAACATTCATAGCCAGATCTAAAGACAAACTATGACTTAGGGAACCCTATTTCAAGGCTAAAGTAAGCCAAAGAATATTCCTAACACAACTAAAGAAAAACCAAACTGGAAGGTGAAGCTCCAAATAAATTTGTGATGGAATTTGGCCCAGACCTCACCCGAAAGGGAACATTCTATCGAGTCCTGAAAGAAGGGTGGTTTTAACAATCGAGTCACAAAGGGGCGGATATGTATGGAGAGTCTGCCACTGTGAGGACTTACAGGGTGAGGCTGGGGGTAGTGTGCACTGCAGTCTCCAATGTGACCCTAATGAAACAGTGCTGGGAACGTGTCAGGCGAAGTCCAGAATTAGTGGCAACTGTAACTTCTAAACCAGTCTCCTTTACGGAACAGAGCTGCTTCTACCGTGAGCGTCTCACAGGCAGTTCTAGTCCTGACTCTTAAGATATCTAAAGCTTTTAGTTTTTATTACACTTCTTTAAAAATGGTGTGCACGTGTGTGGTCATGGAACATGTATAGTGGTTAGAGGACAACTTGTAACGTCTGCTCTCTCCACCATGTGGGTCCCAGGGACTGAACTTAAGTCATCAGGCTTAGTGATAAGAGCCTTTACCTGCTGAGCCATCTTTCCAGCCCTAGGTGCCCACATCTTAAGAGAACCTCGGCAAACCCAAACATTTCTGGACTGCTGAAGTGGGTTTAGTGCACATTCAACAATATTCCTTAGCCTCCCACAGGGCTGCTGCCCCGCGGGAAGGTGGCGACAGTGAGCAGCTCTCAGGGAGCACCGGGCAGGGCTTCTCCTTCATGGCAACGTGAGAAGGCTTGTTGCCAAAGGCCCAGCGACATCTCACCGACTTCCTTAATCCAAGTTCAAAAGACCCTCTCATCAAAATTAAAAAACCAAAAGAACTAAGCTTTCATCCTTTCACAGCGGTCAGCCCAATGTAAGAAAATCACATTTAAAGTATACACATCTAGAAACAAGAGTTGTGAAAAACAGGCTCATAAAAAGCAAACATCCTTCATATATTCCTAGAGAGCACTGTCTCTGATGTGACAAAGGCAACCTGGTGGGTTTTACCTGCAGAATCCCATCACCCACAGTGCCCCAAAGCACTCACACCCAGCCCAGCAGCCTCAGGCTTCAGTTCTTAAAGGCTCCACATTTACTGGCTTTAGCAATGAACTCCTTTAGCAGGGGGCCATCCATTTGCCAAAACGCCGCAGTCTGTGTAACTTCTGTCAAATGATTGATGCAAAACTTAAAGCAGAATTCTTCTAAATCCTGGACATACACAACAAAAATAGGAACAGGAAGAGGCCTTTGTTTATTAACTGTGAACTGTTTCTCGGCAAATCCCCTCCTCCCAACTCTCTTGCCCTTCCCAAAAGAGATACTTGAGACTAGCTAGCGCAAGCCAGGCAAGCAAGATGACTACTTGTCAGCAGAAAATCACCTACCATCTGCTCACAAAAGTAAAAGCATGGTTTCCTTAACTCAAGTGTGACACAAACACATACACACACAAAATCATTAGAGGCCTTCCATGGCTGTCCTATAGCACACATGTCTCAAGACACTGTACAAAGCCCAATGCCACTTTAGTCTGTACATGTTTTGTTACATTTAAGAAACCAGGAAAGAATTAGAATGTGGATTAGTTTAAAGAACAGAAGGCTTTAGGAAATAGATGAAAATTTGTAGTCTACCTAAAATGATATTTAGAAAGAAAATCTCCAAAACTTTACTTTCATGGTCTAATAAAAATGAATTCATTTTTAAAGTCTCACATAATATATTATGTCTTCCCACATGCTATTAATAAGCTCCCAGTCAACCCCAGACAAGTCTATTTACAGAGTCTCAGGCAGGCGGATGAATGAAAGTCACCAACTACCAACATTAAGCGGTAAAGCACCATACAGAAATGGTGTCTATGCTAACACACCCATTCACTCCTGAAAGCCCCCAGTAATGTCTGCTAAGTCAGAAGTGCAAACATACACTTATTACACAAATTGGTATGTATATAAAAAGCACTCCAACATATTAAAGCAAACAACACTAAAAAAGAAAAAAAGCTTTTTTTATCAAAACAGCTTGATTTTTTTTTTTTTTTGCATTGGGTTAGCTGGTAAATTGTGAGAAACTAGTCTAAACTGAAGGGTTTTGACTTCCTGTTTCTAGCTGCCCTGATATAAGAATTCTAGACAGTACAGAGAAGA